CGTGCGCACGGCCTGGCCCAGCACGGGGCGGCTCTGAACAGGTGTCAGCTCCGTGCGGGCAGGGTTCGGACACACGTCAGCGCAGTGTGGCCCGGGTTCGGACACGTGTTAGCCCAGTGCGGGGCGGGGTTCAAACACGTGTTAGCACAGTGTGGGCGGGGTTCGAACACGTGTTAGCCCAGCGTGGGCTAACGAGGCAGTGACACTATGAGGAGCCCCAGCCCGAACCGGGCGTATCCCCCACAGCCTTCAGCCTGGGGGCAGAAACCTCGCATGGAAAGTGTCCGCGGGGATGTTAAAGCTCTGCCCAGGTTGCGACAACCACTCCGGCCGGGGGCCAGGAGGGGACGACGAGCTCGGCTAATAATGCGTAAATAGATGTTCGTTCTGGGAGCACGGGGCTGCGAGGGCACGCAGGAGGAACCCCCCGTTCCCCCAGCAAATCTTCCCATGCAACGACACCAGCGGTGGGCAAAATGCCTTCTATCCAGCCCGCAGGGCCCCTAAAAAATTCAGAAAATCCATATTTATCTGCCCCTGGCTGCCTGTCACGCGGCCCTCGATGGCTTGCCAAAACTCAGCACGCGGCCCTCCGCCCAAAATAGTTGCCCACCCCTGAACTACACAGAGCAAATGCAAAACGCCCCAACGCCCCTATAGCTGTGCCACACATTACAGCCTGCCGCACTACCAATAACACAAGCCCGCCGGCTGCCTGAGACGCTGTATCTCGGTTAATTACTATTAAACCGAGCTGCTGCTTTGAAACTAGAAGTGATCTGGCAGCGAGAGCGCTGGGCCCTACACCCCGCTCTTGATCGGTGCGGGAGAGTCTGCGGTGACGGCCGTACGAGCTGCCCCTGAAGCCCAGCGGGAGGGTGCACAGAAAACACCTGGCCAGTTTCCATCCGTGGTGAACGAAGGTCGCAGCCAGCATGGAGCCCAGTGGGTTTGAGGTCTGTCTTGCAAAGAGGCTGAACGACACATCTTCTGCAGGGCCTAAGCACCCCTGTTGCCTTGCTCAATGGAGAACGCCATTCGGTGCAACGACTTGGTGCATCGCATCCTCTCTGTGTCGATGCCTGGGCCCCGGTGCATACGGGAGCCTTCTGCTTGCGGTCGGAGTGCAGGCCAGTGCTTAACAGGTGCCATCCGCAGAGCAGCGCTGAAAGCAAAGCGACCAGAGGAGGAGGATGCTTTACACCCCAATGGCAGCAGTTTGTGCTTCGGGCACCGAAAACTCTGCATCTGTTCCCCCCGATGCAACCAAGGTGTGCCATTACAACAGGTACCCGTGCATCACCCGAAAAGGCCGTGTCTGCCTTCACAAGCAGGTGGGTGTTATCCACCGACCTGTGCTAACTACCAAAGAGGTGGGAGGCTGCAGCAAAAAGCACTGTGCCTATTTTGCAGAAGTCTCCCAAGCCCCCAGCCAACGGGACCCCCGCTGCGACAAAAGAGAGCAAACGGACGAGTCGGTCTCGGTCTTGCTTTTTCTGCTTTTCTAAACAGAAATCCAAGTGGAGATCAAACAGGAACCGAACACAAATCCTATTGGAAGGTAAAAAATGTTTTACAGCCTACAGTAGATTAACTAAATATGTTTTCACATCTGATTCCTCTTCTTGATTTATGGAACTCTAATTATTGTTTTAAATCACTTACATCATGCAAGGGGATTTGCAAAAAAGGCTGCATTTTTACCGCTGAGTTTTTAATCAAAGGGAGGAGGGAAATATGCTGTAAATAAACAATAATGATTGTGATGATCACCAAATGCCAGGCAATTAACAATCAACACTCAAAACAGGGGCTGCTAATTCGACTGCACCGGCTCCTAATGTAAAAATATAAATACGTTATATCCACATTGACAGCACGGGGAAAACAATTCAAAGGTTTATGTTCTTCCCCTAGAGCTTTGCAAAGCAAGTTAAAAAGAAGCAATGCGCAAGTTGGATCTCTTAAAAAAAAATACAGACTCGAACTGGCGTGTACTTAAAATACCATTTTGCCGCAGAGAGAACTAAAAATGTTTCCTGGTTTCTAATGGAAAATTCAATGCTGTTTTACTACGAGATGCGTATTTTATTATTATTTCTGTTCAGGGCAATCCAAGCAAGCATGGAGATTTTATGGGACGTAGAACAAACAGCTTGAAACAGGGAGGGACCCCCCCCCCCTTTAATTATAGCAGAATCTGCACTTCCTTCCCTGTAATTATAGGAGAATCTAGCACTCAGCACCAGGCCAGATCAGGCCCCAGAGCTGTGCGGTGGGGTGCTAGGCCTGTCAAGTCTTGCCAAGGCAGAAAAGGTCAGTGGTTTAAGGAGTTTTGTGCTAGCGTTGGTTATACCTCCGTGGGAACCCCGCACCTGTTGAGGGAGGCTGCTTCATCCACGCCGAGACCAGAAGAGCAGGCTCACAACCTGCGTGCACGCCCACGCCTGCCCTTCTCTACGGCTTTGCAAGCCAGTTAAACCGGCGCGGATGCCCAGCAGCCAGCCGGAGATTTCTTTTCGTGACTCCGCGGCGAGAACAACCCCATAGACCCCAGGGAGTCGCCCCGAGTGACCGCTTTCCAGTCCGCTGCCCTCAACTGGGTGCAGTTAGCAAGGCCGGGCTGTGTGTCATAGGCTCCGTAAAGCTACGGGCTCATGGAGATTCTCCTTGAGCGCACGGCAGGCGTTTTGGGTTTCAGAAGAAAAGCCAAGGTGCCTCCTCCCTGTTGCCGAGAGGTGCAAAATGGCAGGGGTGTGTGGCTCGGTGACACTTGGGAAGCTCATAAGTGGCTTTGCTACGCTCCCCCACAGTTTTTCCCTTCGCATGGCCCGAGACATGAGCAGCTCCTCCGATAGCAAAGGGCCGTGTGGAGAAAACAGCCTCACACAAGAAGCTTTCACTTCTGAAGCTCCTTTAATAGACTTGTGAAAACCCCTTTAAAATTCTGCCCCGTCCCTTTCCCCTTGGGAATGGGCTTAGGCTCCTAATGCCCTTAGGGACTTAGGAAAATGTCACCATGTACATGTCAGCATAAAGCTGACCTCCACCTGGGGTTGCCTTGGAGCATGTATTCGGTGCACCCGAAGGGAGAAATCTTGACCTTGAATCCACAGTATCTCTTGGCTTTCTCATTTCTCTTCATCTCAGGAATAGTTCATCACCAGAACGGTAATAAAAAGGGGCCCTGCACTAACTTACTAAATTATGCACTCCTGCAAATGAAACCATCCATCTCGGAGGAGCTGGGCCCCTTCCATCGCGGCCTTCGAGGCCTCCACCTCAAACCCTCTGGAACAGCCCAGCCTGCGATTGCAATGCACCACGTCCTCCCTCCGCCTGTCTCCAAATGGCTGATGTTTAAAAAAGTTATTTCCAGTGTTGTGCTAAGGCTTTTTTTTTTTTAAGCTAAAATCATCGCTCTGTTAATTAACCTATTAAAATCATTATCTCTCTTTATAATTAGGTCTTCTGAGTCCTCTTCAAAATAGAGGGTATTACAAGGAGAAGATTCACGGCCTGGGAATTTGGAGAGAGCAAACCAAACGATGCACTTCCGCACCATGCTGTGGGTCCAGCCCCATCCCCTAGCCTCGGGGAAGGGTTGAGGGTGTTTTCTGTGTGAGTCAGGATTGTACGTGCGCCAGACAAACGTGGGGAACCAGCAGGCAGACGAGGAGCAGCAGCGTGATGGAGAAGCCCGGAGGATTTGAAGCAGATGCACCGACCCCTCGAAGCCCCCAAAACCGGTACCAGGCATGCGGGAGTGCACAAGTCAGGTCGTCGCAGGAGAATAGTGCAGGTGATTTCCAGATGCTGCTGTTGTGGGCGGAGTGGGAGGGGTGCGGAGAAGAGGAGGCTGAAGAAAAGGCACTGAAATACCAGCCCAGCAAGGCAGAGCATGCGACTCGCGGGACGCAACACCGCTTTGCGCTGGCTTAGCTCTTCCCATCTGCAGACCGCAAGCTTTGATCAGTCATCAGGGTGGAAGTGGACAGTCTGAGACCTGCTGGGCCAAACAGTGCCCTGGGCTGATCACGAAGGCGGAGGCTGCGTGGAAGATTGCATTAAGACTGTCGCCCTTTAGGCCAGGGCTTGAAGCCAGCCCGGTAATTACAGCTGGGCTGCGCCTCCTCGGAGCTGGGAGTCGTTAACATGCAAGAGTTTACCAGCTGTCCCCTCCAGAAGAGAGCTTATAACTAATTGCCAAGTATCTCCAAACTTCCCATGTGTGCATGCGTGCCATCCGGGGCAGGGTTCCTGTCTTGCCCGCGTGTTGGAAGCTCCCCGTGCTTTTTGCAGGTAACAGCAAAGGGGAAGATTTTCATTGGGGGTCGCCCCCCCCGACACATCACGGCAGTAACAGCCAGCGCCGAGATGCAGTGGCACGGCCCTCCGGGATGCTGATGCTGATGCTCTCCCATGGCTGGAGAAATGGGGGGGGATGGTGCCCTCTAGTGAACTAATGAGAGTAGGAGGCACAAAAACGTCCACAGCAGCTTTTTGGTGCGTTCCAGGGAGACGAGGCCTCACGACGCTCGGGTCTGCAGGCCGAGGGGATGAGGGATAAGGATGGGGACAGCGCCGCACAGCTGTCGCAGGGAGCTCTTGAGCAACGCACTGAGCACAAGGATCCGGCATTTGATGCAGGATGGAGACCTTCACTCCTTAAATGCTGGGTAGGGATCTGCAGCCTCCTGTTGCGGTGTCTGCGTAGGGAGGGATCCTGC